ACTCAATAGAAAATCAAAATAACAGCTCAGTAAGTACAATCCGTAACGAAATTTAAATTGGATTAAATCCATCAAATCTATGAATGTAAGAAGTTATACTTTACATTTATTTTAAAAATTAATTCTCGATTTATCTGTTGGAATAAACTAAAAACATTCGACATCATTGACCTCAATGGAAACAGGATTTGTATTAATTGTTCAAATACTCTAAAAGCTCCTTCATATTTCTTCTCAACGTTAATTTATAGCGGCTGTCGCTGGGCGCAGGTCTTTGCGTATCTAAAATATTAATAGGTTTCGGCTGCCAACGCCGCCTCAAAACCTAACGACGCAATCTTAAATTGAAACACTTAAGTGCTTTAAAATAGAAAAAAATGTTTATACTATTCATAACGTTCACGATTTCGTCAGTTTTAAATGCGAATATTTTAGTAATGCTCTAATTTATAACTCTACTGCTATTTGTAACTGGTCAATATAAAAAAAATAAGTTAAACAGCGCAGTCGATGAATTAAAAAACCTGATGACGCCTATTACTTGCGAATCTCTCATTAAATGGTAACGGTAATTATAAGGATGTTGTTAAATGTTAAATATTTATAAAATCTTGTTAATAACAGAAAGTAGTTTTCCACTTGCAATTGAATTAAAAATCCCATTGGGCTGATTTGACCTCCGATAAAACCCTTTGGGCTTATACTCATAAGTGGCAGAGAGAAGTAACTTATATTTTTATTTGGTTTAAAAACAGCATATTGTCTTCTGTTATTTAAACATGTATCGTACATGATCCACAGCAAAATGAAAACGAAGGCACAGAGGAGAGCACCCCCGTGAGTGTAGCGGCGGCAGTCGCGCAGCAAGCGGCGGTGCAACAGGCGGTGGCCGCGCATGCTGCGCACGCCGCGCACGCGGCACAGGCTGCTCACGCCGCCACTACTGCCGCTAGCGCAGCCGCAGCCGCCGCCGCCGCTGTCGGACCCGAGAAGACGCTCGTCGTGCCCGTCTCACAGGGCTCGCAGCCCAAGCGCCTGCACGTCTCCAACATACCCTTCCGCTTCAGAGACCCCGACCTAAGGAACATGTTCGGCGTACGTATGCTACTCTATTGGTACCTTCGCGCACTGCATGACAACACTTCGCTTGAATACCGACTTCATTAACTACCGATGTTTTTATTTCAGCAATATGGCACGATACTTGATGTAGAAATTATCTTCAACGAACGCGGCTCGAAGGTAAGCACCGTTTTATGTGTCTCCTCTAGTGATACGAAGTGGCCCTGAAATCCACGGCATTAACGTGGATTTCATTGTGGCCACTTTGACGATTTTTATTAAGAGACCGCGCGTCTTATGAAGCAATAAACTGCTTTTATGACATTATAATATACGGATATTATCTGTAAGCCTAAATAAAATGTTCTTCATTAATTATTAAGAATTTTTAAGATTCAAAATACTGTGGTTATTTTTAACGTATTAAATACTTAATACATATGCTCAGTTTCATAAAAAATGTTTGTTGCTTCAGTTCTGTTTGTGAGTTATAGGAATTAAAGTGCTTTACCCTTAATCCAAACCCTTATTAGTTTAATATCGTGCGAAATTCGTTGTCAAAGTTATTGAATTCAAACAGCTTATTAAGTTGTAAGCTGCATTTAAACTTTCTTGTTAAAATTGTGCTATAAAAATATTCGACTTTACGCATTATGTCTGAATTTATATTTACTATAAATGTTTTACCAAAATCATAAGAGATAGAACGTCATCGTTTGTGATTTATCGCTCCAAATTGAGTTTATTAACCACTTATATTCCTATAATTCACAGATGCTACCTTCTTAGCTATTGTTAAGAAAAATATACTTTGTGAAGGATTTATTGGTCTAGTTAAATAGTTGATTTCACATGCAACAGCTAAGAAGCCCGATTAACAATTACTTTTGCTGCCCAAACTAAGTTATTATAAAGATTTCCCACAAATATAAACTTTATCTCTTCAAGATAAATGCCTTTCATTAATATACAAGCTTACATGAGTCTCAAGGCGAAAGGGCTTAGACTAAATTTTATATTATTTGTGTTAAAACAATCTCTATCTCATAGCATATTCTTGGATTTAATGTTTGGTGCAGTATTTCTAATTGCATTGTATATTTCCATTAAACAGTAATATTTATAAAATGTAATCTGATTTAAAAAATTGACTGATCTGTTATGTTAAGTTGTTAGTACCTTTGACAAGCTTTTAGTGTATTCTGTATTAGATTTCATAAGTTTATGTATAAATGTACTGTGGAAACAAAAAGCCTGTCATTGGTACGAGTGTCCAGGACAACATTAATCAATTTTCACAATTTATTGATACACTCAAAAAACAACTCACTGTAAAATCTGGAACATTACAGTTCTAACAATTTAGAAAGAGATGATTGAAAGTGACTTCAACAAAAAATTGATTGGATTGATCGCTTTTTCGTGTTTACTGCTTTCCTTGTGTCAGTTTGGTGACCGACCCTACAGTAGTCCATGCCCGCTCATGTCTAAAACGTATTTACTCTTTTGATATAATAGCTCCGAATTATTTTTTCTTCAATGCCTCACATTGGGATATGCAGTATTAGAGAAAAATGCATCGTCACTATAACAGCTGATTTTCTACGTCACATTTTCAGGACAGCTCTATTATTCATCACTAATAAATATTTTACTATCGTCCAAACTGCACCGCTTGCTCTTCATAGTTGTATTTACGATGGAAGGAACGTTATTTTATACGTGTCTATGGCTTTTGTTTATGATTAGATTGAACTTTCCTATGTGTGTAGTTTGGGTGATGCGTCATTCTGAAATATACTTTAATCTGATTCTATTAGATTGAAAATGTTATTTTGTTGTAATCCTAGATTTCTCAGTCATGCGCTTCCTAACAAGGGGACACAATGTTTCATTAGTATTTGGGCATGTATACTTCGCTGACCCTAATTACTTTTCTGTGTTATAAAATGATAACGTAAGATAAATATTCTAGAAGTAATTTTGGTGCATCACTTAGTTTGGCTTATTCTGGAGAATGGCATTAGTGTCTTCCCCGTCCGCTAGACCGATGTTCCCAATACGGATAGTTGACAACAGTGCGATCGGGCAAATTACCTTCGACGACGTCGCCTTTTCACACGACGCTTACATTTTTATTACGATCGTCACTCGGTCTCCTCTCTCTTTCTCTCTGCCCAAGTTGTTGTTGTTTTTTACATTTTATTGATGAAATATGTGCACTCAGAATGGTAATTGTGATAATAGAGCTGTCATGCTTTTTATAAATGTAAGCGTTTCGTACAATCAGCAACTCGTTTGCCACTTTCACGACTCGTCTCTTCCACTGTATTGTGTGCTGTGCTAGCTGCTTTTTGTATCTATGGGTTATCACCATGTTTTAACAGTAGTTTATTACCTGTAGCACGGTTGATGAAAACAAACTTGATAATTATGGAAAATTATACTGAACGCATATAAACTATTATTTACAACTTCGAGTTGCGAGATGCTAAAAAGTTAATGAATTCATTTTTAGAATGGCATACATTGCTTTGAATCAAATTTATTTTTTGTGTTTTGGCACTGTACAGTTTATGCACAATATTTTTTCAAAACTTCTAGGTTGATGGTAGTATCCAAATAAAACGCTATGATGAGTTCACTATCGATATAAACATACGATTTATCAATACATATCCACAGTATAGAATTTGTACATGTATCTTATAAAGACCATTCTCTTTAGTTAAATACTGTATATTTCGGTTAACTGCATGTCCGATGACTTTTAGAGAACAAATTGCAGCTAACATTCCATACAGAAACAAATAGATATTTTGATTAAAGTAGTGTCCAATAAATCAGCTTAAAAAGCAATCCTTCACATACTCGTAGGTTTTGTCGTAACGAATGTTTCGATAGTACCGAGCGCTAGATCCAATGAGAGATATCCAATGACATTAGCTGACCGCTGGCCGATCTGGCGCCGCTTCTGTGTCCCCGACATTCAGCTAGAGTACGCTCAAACCGGCAACGTAACCGAAACGAAAATCCTGTCGATATCTCACAACCATGTTTAAATAAAGAATATGCAATGCATAAATGTTAATTTTTGTTGCACGTTGTTTTTTGAGCGACGCTGTTTTTAATGCATGTTTTGTCTGTCTTGCATGCAGGGATTCGGTTTTGTAACATTCGCAAATAGTGGTGATGCGGAGCGAGCACGAGAGCGTCTTCACGGCACCGTGGTTGAGGGCAGAAAGATAGAGGTCTGCATGATTCAATGATACCATCCGTAGCACTATGTAACTTTAACATCCCGCCCACGCCCACGCCCACGCCCACCGCAACCTGCGCCCTCTGCTCTGTAGTTACTGCTAGTCTACATGCTAGTGCGCGCGCCCGCCGCCCAGGCCGCGCCGGCCGCATTTAGCACTATAAGTATGCCGCCCCGCCCCTCATCTAATCCACAAACAAACCTTATTTATTTTATTATCCCTTTACTCTCTAGACGGTCATTTAAAATGCCGATTGATTGAGAGACTGTCTCACAGAGAAATGTAGAACGAACCGTACCGTCTCATACTGACGAGGTAAGACAGCCAATGCACTTTTAAGTTTAATATTTGTTTACTGTCATACTCTTTTATGTCTTTTCAAAAATTTCAAGTCAATAAACAATGTCTAATGATTGTTTAAATGTTAAAGTAATTAAAAATTACTGTAAATTATACAAGAAAAGATTATCTATTGCAACTAAATATGAAGATGAACAACTGCTTTGATACAAATGCCTAGTCTCTTACAGAAATATGTTGGTTTGATAAATAAATTTTTATATATTCTTTCTCTAATTTTCAACGATTCTTTATATATGACAATATTTTTCATATTTACTCAGACACATTCAAACTTAAATTTGTTGTATGTAGTGTCCAAACAATGGTATCCATCCCTTTCCAAATCTATTACATCAAAATGTATTAGTTTTCGACCCAGGACCAGTGGCACCACACAGTGGTATTACCTATCTTAAAGTGCAAAATAAAGTCATATAAATTATTACTAGAATCATTCTTTTATTTTCATTTAAATTCTCCTTTTTTCTTTTTAAATATTAAAATCAAATTTAACATTTCTAACAGCTTTGTTAGCGTTGATATTTTCTGACATATTGCTTAATTCCTAATCAGGTTAATAATGCAACTGCGAGGGTACAAACTAAGAAACCACCAGCGGTCCCTAACGGTAAGTCCCTGCTAAACTTCAGATCCTAATAATTATTGATACGATTAAAATTTAAAACACATTAAATACATATTTATAAGAAAATGAAATGTTTTAACATATTTAATAATCTGTTTTATGTAATAATGCATCATGGGATTTTTCTCTTTTAATCCATCCAGTTATACTGGCTAGAAATGGATCAGTTCCCACTTTGGGTGAGAGAGCTGCCATACTAAAGATCGGTGTTGTCCATGTTAATGTTTTCACTTGTTACATGTTGGCTAGATACTTTGTCGGCATGCGAGTAGGTGAATGCTATTTAGAGAACGAGTCCACTGTCATCGCCGGAGACAGTCTACACCTGAGCGGCATATTGATAATATTAAACGATTGGCGACTAATTTTATTTCCATAGACTTATTATTTCGGCCAGTTTAGTTGCTGAATTTAAAAAATTACATATATTACGATTAGCCTTTATAAATTAGCAATGAACTCTGTGACGTCGGCATGCCTAATGCATGTTACGCTATTTTTGCTACATAGATATTCCCTAAACTTTTGTTTATCTATTAAATTTATTTATTATGCTCATTAAATATGAATAGGCTGTCTCCGGCATTTGTTGCCTGATTGTAACACTTTCGGATAACACCAAACTTAGACAGCTTGCTACGTTATCATTCCACTTTGTCTATCAAAGAGTTCTATCTTGACGTTCGCTAGAAGGAATGCAACTTCTACCTTGCACTGTCAATATTTCAAATCCGTAGCGGAGAATGACTTCTAGGCCTGTCTTCTTTGTGCTAGCCTAGTTATATGCGATGAATAGCTAGCACCCCTTTTAATAAATTAATTTGATTTTGTTTCAGTGTGCGTGCAATGGCCGGAAGGTGAGGAACATTATACCCACTCTTTATAACTCCAAATACTATTGAAAGCTTACGCGTTTACATTAATTACATAACATTCATTCGAGCATGAAGTTTCCTTAATAATGTGGTGGGACTTTACACTCTGTATATGGTTTATTAGTTTCTTTGCTCGATGAGACGTTGTGTCACGGATTGATCGTAAGGCATTGTAAATTACCCTAACGGCCATGCTTCTTTAGAGCAGAGAGTAGGAATGTATTAATCGTCCGCACGGTGGTGAGCATCCGACTATTTGATATTTGTGATTTCCATTCGTGCTGTAATGTGGCATGGCCTTGTTATACTGGACACTCGTTGTGAATAATATATTGTACTATTCTAGTCACGTAAATTGATATGCATCTTAGCTCATAGTACTTATAGTAACATAGATCGATGTCACTGTGATTAATGTGGGAGTTAGTATATTGCTGTCGTACGATTCATCTTATACCAGGCAAGTACGAGTGATGCTACTTGCCACAGGTACTAAAGGCTTTTATATCCCCGTTATTTGACCAAGTAATTCGACGATTACTTAAAAAATTGGATTTAAATGTTGTTGTATGTAATAAAACCTTTTTTTTTTAAGTTGTACGTTAATATATTAAATAACCAAAAAATAAACATGTCGAATAGAAAGCGCAATAACTTCAGCAAAAAAGATCTGTTGCTCGAAGTCTTCTATATTTTCTATGCTTTTTTTTTATCAAAAACTGATTTAAAGTTCTATGATTAATGTTGTCCATTAAAAGAAGCTAAAGTAAATTTACAATCGCGTATAAAACTGCTGAAAATGGGGGTTTTAGAGTAGTGAAGGATGAGAAGAGCATGTCGATAGTTAGATCGTGGATAGCGTGTGTCAGTGTGGTACTGGTATGGTATCGCGGCGGTGCGCGCGGTACCCGAGCGCGGCGATGTGTCTGAGGGCGCGCTGTGTGCGCAGGGCTGCGGGTGTCCGGCGTGA